GCTTTATTCAGATAAAACTCATTGAAAACAATGCCGAACATGACATACTTCTACTATGAATGACAAATTGTGTAAACATCAAAAAGATTCTCCATAGTAGACTTCAACTAGCAATATCCTCCTACCTCAATTTGACCAGACATTATCTATTTTGAGACAATAGAGAGACTTTGAGTCAAATCTTCTTTCTGTTATGCTTGATTCTCAAAGAAAACTAGTTTTGCGCTTGCCTGATCATCCATCTATCTGTCTGCTTATGTGAGAGTATTATAATTCTTGTTCTAGCAGCTAAAATAAAAGTTATAGTATTACTAAGTAGGAAGTATACAAAATCCCTCTTCTATCCAGTCTGTTGCAGAATGGCTCCAAGAGCAAGGCCATGGAGCCTTAGAGGCCTTGTGCAAGCAAAGCAAGGTGTAGGCCTCACAGGTAACCGGATACGGGATGTGGGAGGAGAATGTGAAGGAAGCTGTGTAGAACTGACCAATACTGTTGTGACTGGTAGGCGTGGCTAAACACCACGCGGATATAAGCGAAGTGTGCCACAAATAAAGTAGAAGTTTGCTTATCACCCATATTGGGTTGGCGTGTCTTGCTTCTCCTCACCGCTTACACCAGTTCTTTGAAGAAAGAGAAAAATAATAACAAGTGATTTATTCTGCATTCAAGGAAAAGTAAATGTCATTACTGATTGCCAAAAAAAAGTTCTTGAAGAGATGGACAAATGTATTGTGTCTGAAGGGTCTGTGGGGCCTACTGCTCTTCAGTACCCCAAAATTCTAAATAACATTGAACCTACCTAGTTTAATAGATGAAGCAAAATCAAAGAATGCTCATGCAAAATAGCCAGAGTAAAAGTCAGTGAATAAAATTGTTGTATCTTTGTGTTAAAGTCTGGAAAAGGAAGGTTGTTTTCTGATAAAGGTGAATCCATAGGAGAGCACATGAATGAAAAGGGTTTTGGAAAGCAAGGTTTATAAGGCATGTTTCAAAAGAGTTGTATTGACTTAGTCCAGAGAAGAGAAGACTGAGAAAAATAATGTAACATTTGAAGTTTATTGTGAAGAAGACAGTCATCAATTGTCTTTTGTACCTACTTGTGGAAAGACAAGAAAAAATTATCTTTATTTACAGTGAAAAAGAACAGGTTACATATTTGGAAAAGGCTTCTAACTACAAGGACAGACTGGAACCAGACTATCAGGTGATGCTGGAGCATACTCCTCACTGGCAGTTTCAAACAGATTAGACAAAAAGTTTCTGTCATCCAGATGCTCTTACATCTATCCTCTTTCATAATGGTTGGCTCCACTCAATAAATAATCTGGAATATTAAGAAGTAATTTGAAGAATAAATTTGGAATGTGGAGGTGAAATTGGATAGTCTGAACAGATGATAAATCATCCAAAATGCAGGTATCATTCTTTTGTCAACATATGTTTTCTTGTATTTTGTATGCCTTTCTGTGTTTTAATTTTCACTTTTTTAAGTTCATATACGTATAATTTCCATTTGCAGATAGTCGATAAGGATTTTTTGCCTGTTCATGCAAGCAGTACTATTACTCTGCTTACACTATTTGATCCTCTGGGCAGGAAGCTGGTCTCAGCATTGTCAATACCCTTTCTCTTTGGCTTCTAATTCTATATAGCACATGTTCTTCAGGTATGTATAGCTTTGTAGATATACCGGAAATACTTTGCATTCAAAACACATGCAGTTTCTTTTAAGTCACACACAGATAACCAGAGTTTATTATTTGACAGAATAACTGAAAAGGTCTGATTCCTAAACAAAACCAGAACTTTCATGATGAATTTTACTTTCTGTGGTTAACAGCCTGTTTTTACTGTGATAAATAAAGACTGTTAGTAATAAAAATGAAACCTATGCTGTGATAATGGAACCCTCAAGTGAAATTGGTTAGTGATATTAGAAAGTATCACTTGTATTTCTGCTCCAAACCTCAAGGTATTTTATTTTTCTGTACTCAAAAACAATATTAAATAGCATTTGTGGTTCGTGTATGGTTACCAGCATTCATGGGCCTGATTAAAATGTGAATCATTTGTGTATATGCTTTTGTTAGAACATAGAATGAGTGACATAGGAGAGCAAGGAATGAAGATCATTTGGCTATTCTGAATACTGACAGAATACAGTCTATTCAGAATACTGGCTAGCATGTCTATTCTTTCTGAGAAATTCAGTTTGGAGGATATTGAGAAAACCGTTTATTACTGTGATAATCTGTTAGCTGCTTAAGGACTTACGTTTTCATATCAAACAATTATTAAAGTCTTCAAATTAAAGTGCTTATCTTCCAGTGTTTTTTCTTGTATTGGGTCTGTGCCAGGAAAGGCTGTGAACATTTGCAAATGGACATTTTATTGTATCTTCTTCCCTCAAATTGTATTAGAGGCATTTTGATTATTAGAAGCAGCTGTGTTAAAAATATGAATAGTGTATAGAGAGTCAAACAGCTTTCACTTGGTTAACCTCCCAGAGAGGAAGATCTGAGTAAAATAAGTAGCACCCCTTTGCTTTTGTAGCTGCTCTGTCTTGTTATCTTGATATAGAACCAAGGGGTTCCAGTATAACTTTTCTGTTTCATCATCTAGACTTATCTAGCTTTATGGGTTTTTTAAAGTAGGAGACACCTACTTACGCTATTTGAGAATTAACTTAGAAAGAGATCACTAAAGTCTTAAAACTTTTATAATACAAGCCAATCTGGAGAAAGATTGTTGTCAACTTGAATAGAATTATTCAAGACTATGAATCACATACCACTTTACCTTTATATTAATGCAGTGTATATAGAAGAAAAACAATATAGTCAGAGAAGCTTTTGAAGGAAAATGCCTAGCAAACAACTTCAGAATATTTAACTCACACTTTTTTACAAGGATAGGAAAATATAATTCCTGGATAGACGTGAAATACTTTTTTAGAAAGGCTTCTAAGGACTTCCCATGAAAGTCAAAGAAGTAGTTTATAATCCAAGATGTTCCGTGAAGAGAGAATAATGGTTCTAAACTGTGAGATGCCATAGAGAATTGAACAAATTGAGAAAGATAAAAAAAACTACTACGGCTTCTTTTACTTACAGTTGACATCTAAAGTTGTCTGGTCTTACCTGTCAGAACTTGCTTTTCAACATGTATATTAATGTAATTATTTTAATAACTGAACATTCACATTTCAATTTATATTTTCAAGTTACAAAATACAAACTATTTTTTCAGCTTTCCCATTTAATATCTTATGGAACAGTTTAAGTATAATTTTTGCTGACTAATGAAATATTTACTTTACCAGAGGGAAGTTGTGATGAGAAATTTAGTTTTCCTGAATATCTTCAGAGGCCCAATGCAGTTAATGCGAAATCAATCCCCAGCAAGGTGCCTGTGCCTATTTTGAATAGTATGATATTCAGAAAAAAATAGAGCTAATATACAAGGATCTAACTTCCCTTTTCAAAGATGCCAATGAATTTGTCATTTAATAATTCTGAAAATATTACTTACAAGTTAAATAAGGACACTCTGAAACAGTAAGAATAATTAAAGGTGGTTAGGAAGAAAAAAGAATATATGCAGTTTGATTAAATGAGGTAAACAACCATATACAAGGAAACTGGAATGATACAATATTTATTTAAGTTGGCAGGAGAATGTATAATTGGAGGTGTAACTGGGAAAACATGGTGTGAAGTTATTCTGAGTTATTCTATTTTAGCAGATTTAATAATGTTTTAAAGTGGTGGCAGTCCCCTTCTTTAACATAACTGCAATTGGACTGGACAAAGTAGTACAAATTGTGCTTCAGAAAGTCAACCCTATGGTTGGATATAGGTTGGAAAGTGTAAGTCTTACCATCTAAGAGTATGTAAGTTTTTTGGCAAATTTTCAGAAATAAATATGAAAATGTCAGGATTAAGAAAATATTTTCTCTAGAGTACTAGAAAGTGTATTAGTTTTGGGCTCTCCAGATTAATATTGTGATGTACTGTAACAGTATAAAGAGATGGTTGCTTGCTTAATGCAGTTTATGTGTGTGTTAATTTGTATAGCTGAGTTTTCCATCAAAGTTGGCCAAAGCACAGAGAGTTATTTTAATTGCCCAATTTTTATAAAGAGCATGAATAACTCATCTGGGATGCTTTTGGCTGCTTCTTCGAGTGGTTGTGGAGATGGATTTCATTTCTGGTGTGTATGTGCCCAGTGAGTGCACATACATAAGGAGAAGTGCACATACATATGGAGAAGTGCACATACATAAGGATAAATTATTTGGACAAGCAGAGTCCATTAGATGGTATCAGCAGACTACTACTTGAAGCACCCTCATGTCCACTATCCTCAGTGCACTAAATAGTGACACGAGTACACACACTCATGATTTCATTATTTCCATCATACCAAAAGGTGGAAATAATTCAGTGTATGTACTGTGTGAGTCATTTAACTTCATATGTAATAGTATAATTAATTTCATGCTGTAAATTAAGTCTTCTTATGAAATTAGCAAAATACAGTTTGAGTTAACATACTAAATATATCTTTTTAGATATGGATAAAGGAATCGTAAGTTACTGGGGCTTAAGATTTTTCCTAGTGTGATTTTTCAGCAGGCAGTAAGTCCCATTGTAACATTTCCTTTTTCCAAGAGGGAACATAGAGCAAAGGAGGAAGAAGACTTCCCTTGAACAGAAATCAATTTATTTCTAAATTCCACAAGTAAAGCTACAGTTATGATTTAAGATAGTGTCACCTATGCAGTATCCAGAAAGCTATGATTCTGAGCTTCTTGGACATACCCATTGCCAGGGTTCACTTGTACTGGCAGGGAGGTCTGATGGAGGCAACAGGAGTGTGATACCCAGCACGCGTTGCTGCCCATGCATGTAGCAAGGGATAAAATGTTCATCAGCAATATGGCGTGTCTTTGATTAATGTATTTTAAAATCCAGGGCCTGGAAAGACCGGTTTTATTCCTTGCTTGCTGCCTGCAGGGACCTTGATAGTGACACACTTTGTGTTGAGTACCTTATGTATTTTCAACCCTGATAGTAGTGATTGTATTTTCAGTACGGTGTTGTACATAGTGCTGAGTGATTTGTTGGTCTCGTGAGTTTTCTCTCTCTTATTCTCTACAAGCTCTCCAGTTTATCAGAAGCAATAAACACCAGAAATAGATTCCCTTCTATGACTGATTGCAGAAGCAAATGTACCGTTACAGATCAGTGACAGAGCCTTCAATGTATCTGCAACTTTACAAATCAGTGACAGAGCCTTCAATGTATCTGCAACTTTACAAATCAGTGACAGAGCCTTCAATGTATCTGCAACTTTACAGGAAGGGTGAGGGGGCTATCAGTTCAGTGTCAACAATCAGTGCCTCAGCACTTTCATTTGCTATTTCAAATTCAGACTGGAGTATCCATAATCTCCTAACCAATCACTAATCCTCAGGGATTTTGAACTGCCAGCCTGCAAGATGTCTATTTTTACATAGGGGTCTGTGCAGCAAAGACATTAGATTCTTCACAGGAACACTGGACTGTGTTACAGAGTGGTACCCTTAAATCTTTATTGTAAATCAAGCAGGAATTTTCTGTTAGTTTTCTGTTCCCTCTGCCTTCCCCCCCCCTCCAAAAAAGAGCCATCATCACAGCCTGTGTCAGAAGATAAAGGAGTGAAGTGCAGTACATCAACAGATGATTGATTTGGTTCACGCAGGTCTAAAACTATATGATCAATACTTCTCAGACTTACAAAACTAGCAATACTGATTTGAAACACTTGGTATGGTTTTGGTGTTATACGTCATCAGAGCATTTTGCTTCCCAGAGCAGAGATCCTAGACAGTAACAGGACAATTAAATCAGTTTCTAGGTTATCTTTTACGATCAGTGAAAACATCTCAGCATTTATAGTCTCTCACAAAACATTCTGTACTTTACATTGTGCACAAAGTTTACTGGAACCATGTCTTTGCAACTACCTGGTACATGCTGCATCAGATGTCTATGGTATGCAGAGAAGTACTCATTAAACTTGGAACAAACAGTGTTGCCTTCGTATCTTAATATACCAAGGGTTTGTCTGACAGACAGGTCTGTTCAGAGATAGGGATCTGCTCACATTCAAAATCTCTGTGATGCTTAGGGAATGCTTTGTCTCTATATAAACATCTCAGAGTCAGGACCCTCTGCCTTGAACAAAAAGTACATTTGGGCTTGGTTTTCAGGGACTTACCAAACAAGTGCTGATAATCAAAGGGATAATCAATTATATGTTTTATCAACAAGCCAGTAAGGGGCAAGATCATCTTCAGGAACTTTTAGATGACATATTGCTTTGAATTAAGCCTGTCAAAACCAGTCAACATTTGGGCTTATAGCTGGTAATGCTGGAGGTTCTGAGCCTTTCTAACCTTCAGCGTATCTAACCATCATAGCAAGGAGCCAACAGCAATGACCTGTCTTCTGAGCTGCCCTTTTCAAACTTCTAAATGTGTGCTTGTTCATAATAGACACAAATAATGTCCCACTCTAACTAGAGGGATGATGACAGCTCCTGAAAAAAAAAATTATCTGTTTAATAACATGGAGTTTGTATGCCTTTCTATGTGTCTTGTGAAACTTTCAGTAGTCTCTTTACCTGCTTAGCCAAACATACTCTTCAGAAATAATAATCAGATCCTGCAGCCAAACCCAGTATGATTATAGCTGATAGACTGGGTGTTGCCTAGATGAAATCTGCTGACAGAAACTATTTTGCAACAGTACAGATCATTTTGTGTCAAATAGTCACTTTAACTAGTTACTCACAACCCTAAATGAAAAGACTTCCTGTTTGAGTGTCCTGGCATGATCAGTCTCCCTTAACCTCTTCTACTTCAACAGCACAGGACTGTTTAATAGCTTTGACGCTAACTGGAGTTTACATAATTTCTCTAAAAATGCATTTTTCTGCAAAGCTGCTTATCTTCTGTACATGGATACAATGTACCTTAGCCTGTAGAAAGATTTCTGAAAGGCTTTGTTTATGTTCTACCTAAGAACGGAAACCTGTTTTACCTATCTGTATAATTTTTTACTAGTAGAAACTAGGCTTTCCTGTCTGCTTCGGAAATATTCCCGTGCCTTGTAAAACACATAGCAGGGGAAAACAGGATTATACTGCACAGGTTTCCTACTGAAATAATAGGAAACTCTCACAAGCTTCTGCTGTTTTAATTATGATGTTAACCTTGAGTACTTAAGGTCTACTGCCGAACTCTAGAAACAATGCCATCCTCCTTTAGAGGAAGCTTGAACTACTTTATATTCAATTTTCTACTTTGGTTTTTAGATAAAGTTTACATTGATTCCTTGAGCTTTAGTTATTAGCAAGTAATTTTCTTAGAATGGGCCTGATTTCTGTGGACTGGCAAATTTTCTTCTCTTTATTTCCATTCCCTACTATTCTTTTAGATTCTGCTTGTAGAAAGACCAGCAGGGTTTTAAGAGCACAATATGCATGACTGCATCTTTTCCTCTAATGCATCTTCTCTAACAGTAGAAAAGAATGGCTCTCTCAGAATGTGCTCATCTAAGCTTCCAGTTCCCCAGGATCTTGGAAGGACTTCTGTGCAATAGCAGCTTCAGCATCTGCCACAGATAGCAGACAAACTGGTGGATTGGCAGAGCTAAGAAAAAGGGGGCAGTGGACTCTTCTTCGGTGACTTTAATTACAGCACCCCTCTAACACTTCTTCAAAACAGCAATAAATGTTTTAAAATCACGTGTGAAAAGGGTGGACATGGATCAAATTTTCACCTTCTCTATCAATAGAAAAATGAGGGTGCATCAGATGAAGCTGGCACTAGGCAGGTTCAAAGCAAATAATACAATAAATTATATCATTTAATATGTTCATGGGTAATACGCTTATGACATTATTTACCTAAAGACAATCTGGATGACAGAGTTCAGGTGGATTTAGGGAGAGACTGCACAAGACCTTGGAGAAGAGATCTAGTAAAGGTCACTGACTAGACAAACCACATCAGGATCAGGAAACCTCCTGATCCAAGTTGGATGCTGGAACCCATAAGCATCATCAAATGTGCTTGTCCTGGTTCTGCAGTTCTCTGAGAGAGTACTTGCATAAGAATTGGCTTATGTCTGCTGTTGGAGATAGGTAAATGGGCCAAGTGTATCCCTGGCCTGAACCAGTCTGACCTCTCTTGTATTCTTAAAATAAGGTTTATTTATGAATCTTGGCCTACTCACAGTCAAAGTCCCTCTTTAAATTCAATCAGCTAGAGCCAACCTTAGTAATTCTCGCTCCTCTTACTGCACTGTCAGCTTTGCTAGCTACACCATCTGTGGTATTTTAAAGATTTATGACACATGATAATGAAATACCTCTTCCTCACCAATTTTTCCTCACTTGGTCATGCCCTTACCTAAGTCAAGCTTTATTCATCTTTATCTCTTTAGAAACTTGTTGCAAGCACTGTAACTTTGAGTAAAGACTTTTCTTGTTCTTTATGCTGGCTGTCATATTCGTTCTACTACAGAGAGGAAATATTTGAGCCTGCCAAAGAAAAGAGCAAGAAAATTAATAGAAAATCCATGGGATAGTGTTGTTTCCATCACAGCAATTTGAGAGGAGGAATTTCATTCTGATCCTTGTTAAGTGAATAAATCAAATCCACGGATCTGTAATGCCAAATCTATAAGTCATGTTCCAGAATTCAGCAAGCCATGATCACAACCTTTGGACATCCTCAGAAATAACTTCTTTTCCTTTCAACTTGGGGAGTTGTCCTGATAGTAAGTTTATCCTCCTAAGTCACTTAGCAAGGACAAGGAAATTCAATGGGAAGTCTCTATATTTAGCAGAGATTAACATGGTCGATGCTAATGTTCAGTTCCCTGGTTAGCTTAAAGTCCTTCCAGTTTTCAGTAGATAGGCGTAGGTGAACACAGCTAGAGCTGGAGGAAGAGGGGAACAGGAAGGGCTGGAGAAACAGGGTCAGATCTAGAGCCTTTCATAACATCCTTTCACCCTCTGCCTCCTGCTGCTGGTAAATCTGCACCTGAACAGCCACTGCTTTAAAAGAAAAAATAGCTTCTTCTGTTTGGTTTTTTACGAGTAACACCTCAGGTGTGGAGCAAATGAAGGCAAACCTCTGTGCCAGGGCTCTGTCTCTCTAATTCTGTATGTACACCAGCTAGCACAGTAGGAACCTGTTCTGTTTTGAACATACTATAGCATAAATGGTTGATAAATCGGAAAGGAAGGAATCAACATTTTTCTATTACTTGTGTGGCCTCCTGAAATGATTAATATATGTTTAATGACTTCTACATGTACGCTGTGTTTCAATTAAATGTTTCTTTTTTAACAAGACCACTTAAAATTAAGTATGGAAGTGTGGCAGCCAGTATTAAGGTTGAATTTAATATAGTATTTTAAAATAACACAATAAAAATACTATGCAACACATTTTTGATGCCAAAGTTTTCGAGAAAGTCAAACCACTGAAGGGGTGGAAGTCCCTGGCAGAGCAGCTGGAACTGTAACCTACAGAATGCTGAACCTGCTTCTGATAGTTTTTTTTTTCTTTTTCTCTTTGAATGTGCTCATCTACTTTGTATTAATGATTAGTATGTTCAAAACTGAAAAATCCACTGGGAGATGAGAAAGCAGGCAATTTAATTTTTTCTCATCAGGTCTCTGAGTGAAAGCTGTGACAGGGTGTAGATGTAATAGTTCTGAAGTCTTGAAGGTCATGCTGACCAGAAACAATCACATGAGTTCACCAACCAGCAGCGATTATTCCTTGTTGAATAAATCAGTTTTCAGTGCAGTATGTTCTGATCATTTGTTTTCTTACATGCTGTGTACGTCTATGGCTATTTAACAGATAAAAAAGTGCTCTTCTGCTACATTTTAACTGAATTCCATTTTCCATCTACACACAGTTTACAAATTATAATTGGAAGAGTGAATCATGTGGTAAAGAAAAGCCATTAAATTTTCTATTGTAAAATGTAAAAGTTAAGAATCAGAGGCCAGTTATATAGATGATTAAATAAAAATTGTACAAGCATGAAATAACATCTGGATAGCAAAAAGAATCATATTTTATAAAGAGGGTATATTTAATTGAATAAGGGCCTTTAAAATAAAGGAAGAAGAAAAAAAAAGGGAGTGTAAAACTGGACTAACATGGCCTAAAAGAAGGCCTTACTCTTTTCTGAGAAAGGTAGCTAGAATTGGTAATGTAACGCAGAGACACAAACCAATCCACCCAGTCTGCTGATAACATACACTTGTAGTTGTGGGTCCTAAACAAACACAGTCTGGGCCTTGCAAGTGCTTTAGAAAGCCCTGGTTAATAATCAGTTGTCCATGAGTCCCCTTTGACCTGCACGGGCCCTCCTTCTTGGAACAAAACCACAGCAGCTGTTCCTTACATGAGCCATCATGATGCAGTAACTGCACCCCTTGCTGCTGCCTCCCTCCGCTTTCTCACTGCGTGTAGCGAGAGAAACCTGCGTCTGCAACTTATGATCAGAGCAAATTAAAGAAAGCTGGGCAGCTGAGTTACTGAGACCTGCCTTGAATAAGGTAGAGAGAGATGACCTAGGG